TGTTGCCGTCTGTCTGTGCGGTGTGAATGAAGTTCAATATAGCAGAGAATCTAATTTCTCACAGACTTAAGAGTCATTTGCAAATTCCAAACAGGACTCCATGGGTCTTCCACTGAGAAAAGGCTTCCAACTGGTGATAGCTTTTCATAAGCAAGTTTCTTCCTTGTTCACACTTGATTTCTGAAGCTCTGAGAGTGACCATCAGGTTCTTGCTCTCCTCTCTCACCAAGGTCCTTCTCCCTGATTGCTCAGTTCTAGGAAGAGTCTTGATTGTTTCAGACTTATTCCATTTAAGAATTATAGAGATTAATGTACTTTTGAGATATTTCAATGCAGTCCTGTATCTGAGCCTGTATCTGAGCTTCATAGGCAGATGACTAACTACATGGTTTTTGCTCTGATACGCATTCTTCGTCATGTGATGTTTTACTGTGCTTTTTAAACCAACAAAGAAGTTACATTTCCGCTACCTATTGGACTGGAGTGTGCTCTTAATGATGGGTATAGATGAAATATTTCTCATATGCAACATAGTTTAGAATTATATGTTTTACTGTTTCTGGATGACCACATTTATCACAGTAAGCAGTCTCATGTTTCCCTATAATGTGCAGATTCTGATTTAATGTCAAAAGTCCAATGCACAGTCTGGAAATGATAGCATAATTTTTTTCTGTATTCTCTCTGCACCAACATGAGTAAATTAAATAGACAATTTGCTTGTTTTGTGGAAACATTACAAGCCCCAATCTTCCACTGCATTGCGTTGTGTTTTAGAGTTAAGAGAAATGTCTGTCAAATTAATGGATAATGTCCTGGCAGAAAATTGCCAGTTCATTGTCTTTTTGTTTAATGAAACTGGACAACAGAGTAACATGCAGACCAATACTTCCATAATTTAAGTATAGCACTAATATAAGTAAATATTTCCAGACATAGAGTACAGTATCTCCCTCTTCTAAAGCCATTCGGTGGTAGAATTCCTTACTTTATGCTAATCTTTTGGTAATCATTCTTTCCATTATCTTTCTTATGTGTGATGTCAGTGTTATTTGGCCTAAACAGTAGTTCAATGGATCTGATGGGTCAGTCACAAATACTGTGTCGAATTAACACACATGAAGATCTTTAATCTAGTCTTTAATAAAACCACATAAGGTAATCCAAACAAGGAGGTCTGGAAACACACATATATTGTCCGTCGATGAGACTGGACAAACTAAAACTGAGCAGACAGGAACTTAAATAGGCAAATGAGGATAATTAATGAGACACAGGTAAACTAACTAACTAACGTAATCAAAGGGGAGACAGAAACTAGGTCAGAGAACAAAACAAGCAGGCAAACAAACCCTGCGTTCCATTTGGAAGAGCTCATCCCTTCAAAGGGTTTACCCTCCGGAGTGAGAGCTTTGAAGGGTTGAAGGGTTTAGGGGACCAAACAACTGTTTCTTGAAGTGCCCTTCTGCGCCATTATTCCGTGCCCCACAAGGAGGTGCCATCATCATGGAAGGAATCAGAGCAAATGATCATGAGGGCCCGAAAGTGTCCATCAGTTGTACCCTTCGAAATCCTTAATTCCGAAGGGCCCTTTGAAGTGGCCAGTTTTGAGCACTTCGGTTTGGAACGATCCTTCAATATGGCGGCCATGATTGTTTTCACTCCGAAGTGCCCTTCTGAGGGCGATATATCCCATTTGGAATGCACCGATAGTCCAAACAGGGTGATGGTGTGACAGGGCCCTTCCCTGATTTCCTGGTTCACTGCCTCTTTCTATCAAGTTAGTAACTTTCCTGTCTCTTTCTATCTAGTTAGTAACTTTCCTTCTTTTTACACTTTATTATAAAAACCTAGAAGCTTCATAGATACTAGAACACCTATGTTTTATATAACATGTATCAGATTTCATTTTTCGCATGAGATGTTGCCCTCTTCATTTCTTCCAAAGGTAATGGAGCTTTCAATGTGATGTTCATCTAATCCATTCTCTCGAGGGTAAACTGATCTTGTTAATCCCCTTTCCTTTTTTCCCCTATTCACTCTCGCTAGCAGAAGCATGAATTTCAGCACCTTCATTATCATTTCTGCTTTCTCTTCGTCAGACACTGCTGCATTCTCCTGTATCACCAGTATGGGATATTTCCATTTTCTCCTGATACCTCTCGTGCTCCTAATCATGCCCCAGACATCACCCACAGATTTTGATCTACCAATTCAATACAAAATGTTTGCCAGCTTTGCCTTTACTTTTGCTTGAACTTGCTAATGTAATCTGTTCCCGTGCTTTAAAACGACTGACATAGTGCTTTATATTTTGAAGTCTATTCTGGATGCTTAGTTTGTATTCTGTTCTGCATTTACATTTCTTGTTCCTGTTGTATTATGGTTTCAGTTTCAATTCATTGTCCTCCTTGTGAAGGGTGTCAATGATTGTCTTCTGGACAACTGTCAGCTCAGCAGTCTTCCCCATGATTGTGTAGCCTAGTGAACCAAACCGAGAGACCATTTTGAAGGCTCAGGAAACCTTTGCAGGTGTTTTGAGTTGATGTGGCATGTAACCATATTCTAATTGAGATAGTTAGAATTGTTGAGATAGTGAATTGGTGGGTTTTTGTCAAATGTGAGCCAAAATCATCCCAGTTAAAAGAACCAAAGACTTAAACTACTTCAGTCTGTGTGCATAGAATTTATTTAATACACGAGTTTCACAATTTGAGTTGAATTACTGAAATAAATGAACTTTTCCACACCATTCTAATTTATTGAGATGCACCTGTATGTTCTATTAGTTATTAACTGGCTATTTAAAGGACAACGTGACTGATTTTCAACCAGATTTGTGTTGTTATAACACTAGTAGTATATGTAAATGACCAGTGCATACTCCTTCTCCACACTGAAAAAAATTAATCTGGGTGGATGTAAATGTTACATAATTAAATCTGTGATATTGACAGTAAAATGTTAAGTTTCTGTCTTTACATTAATATATCTAGTTTTGAATTAATCTGCATTTGATCAAAATACAAGACAATGTGCAATTTTTTCCTTTACAAAATGTATCTAAGTAATCCCAACCAATCTTCTTAGGTACACACACACAACAAACAATAACCTTGTTTCATTTACTCAATATAAAATAATTACCCTACTTCCCTTCGTGTTTCGTTGGTCTGGTCTGGAAACCCCGCACATTCCAAACAAAGAGGAACATGCGGACTGAACAAGGTAAGAATAAAGTTATCAAAGTAAGGTTAGATGTTTGGTACATTACCATAGTCTTTAGTTTTCGAGTTGTTGTACAAAAAGGCTTTACATTTAATTTGAAGATAACGTTGTTGTACATGGATTTACTTTAAATTATAATTAAATAATTTAGCAAGTGACGATAGTTTGTGTAATTTGAAGCTAACGTTAGCATGCGGCTATGAAATAAGGCATATAGTGTATGCTAAGCACGTGAATTTTTAGAGTAGGTTAAAGGATAGCATCGTTTTTTTTTCAACCTGGACCCCATTTCCCTATGTTTTTGTGTTTAAAAACTGATGGGAACAACAATCTTTGAAATTGTTCCAATATTAAGCAAGAATTTTTTTTTTTTCTATTCAGTTAGTGCACTTATCTCTTATATTTTGCCAGACGTCGGACCACCTAAATGTTGTTCTTTGTGTATTTCTAGGGTTACTTTATCTATTTTAATCGGTTTCTCTTTCTCTGTGTCTCAAATTCTTTTCTCTCAGTATCTAATGATATTTGTCCATCTCTCTCTGTCTCTTTTGCAGATCGATGAGGAATTCCGAAGGATCACACTGAAGCCACTACAGTCCACATTCCTAGGGAAGTTGGGCCAATAACAAATACACACCTAAATTGTTGAGTCTATACAGGAGGAAGGGAGGAGCTGTAGGGAAGAAACTTGATGAGACCCTTGACATCATAAATGAGGCATGTACTTTTAATATTATAGCAGTTAGTTTAATGTTGTAACATTCTGATATCTGTACTGAAGATAATCTCATATTTCATATGTTTGTAGGACAACAACATTGAATCCCGAAGAGAAACTGTGATCAGAGGCCTCATTATCTACCTTGGTGAAAAGACTAGGACTACCAGGTAAAGAAAATACATTTCTGCCCTCTCACTTGTTATGAATGCATACTGAAGGATTCTCAAATGTATTTCTTGATTTATGTATACACAGCTCTCTCCACAGAAATATTTTTCAATTCACACAAGATAGTTATTGTTTATAAATTTCTGATGCGCACACACATTTCTTGGCTTAAATCACAACACTGCTCAAAACTACCACAGCAACCACTTAATCCCACCCAGATCCCGACAACACGCAGCACACTCTTTTGAGTGACTTTCGGGCACAAAGTATACATAAATATATTCAAATTCAAATTTACCACAGCAACCACGTAATCCCACCCAGATTTCTGTTTAGATGGAGAGTAAAGACCTATATGCAGTCTTTACTTTAGCAAACAAAAATGAGGTTTAATTCTCTCTGGTATGTTTCACGCTCTCTCCACAGAAATATTTTTCAATTCACACAAGATAGTTATTGTTTATACATTTCTGATGCGCACACACATTTCTTGGCTTAAATCACAACACTGCTCAAAACTACCACAGCAACCACTTAATCCCACCCAGATCCCGACAACACGCAGCACACTCTTTTGAGTGACTTTTGGGCACAAAGTATACATAAATATATTCAAATTCAAATTTACCACAGCAACCACGTAATCCCACCCAGATTTCTGTTTAGATGGAGAGTAAAGACCTATATGCAGTCTTTACTTTAGCAAACAAAAATGAGGTTTAATTCTCTCTGGTATGTTTCACAGGTTTGTGATGATGATGATGATGATGCAGCCATCCAAGAGGACCTCACATCATTGCTCAACATCTTTGTGGTCAACAAAGCCAGGGAAGGAGGTTGACAGAGCCAGTTTATATTAACGCCAGTGTGAGAGCGAGCATGTGAAGCGATCAGCCGGTTCTTCCGTTTCAGAGGACTTCCGTGTTTACATGTCTGCAGCAGGCACTGATCCCTCATGGCTTTCATTACGAAGAAGGATCGCAGCAAAGAACGGTATTGTGCTTTCATATTTTAACTGACACTTTGTTTATACCGGTATCCCAGACGGATCAGGAGGGTGTTCTCTCTCAGGTCCGTACCGTAGGACTCTGACTTCAGGCCTTTTGTGTCACTTTAGCTCGCTGGATCCTTCTCCTCATAGGCCAGTAAACACATCAGAGACATGTATCAGTGTTGTTACGCGTAGTGTTTATGTTAGAGTATTCAAGCTTTAATTGTTAATACTTTTATTTTTAACTTAATTAACATTTTCCTAGCATCGGATGAATTGTATAGGGAGAGAGAGCGGTGGGCACAACACCGGTCCCTTGTTTGTTTCAAGCGTGTGAATAATCCCCTTATTGCAGTAATGTTAAGACTCACAATCTCATTGTGATGGCAATACGTTTTTGTTTTGAGCTAATTTAGAAATGAACTCTCATTTTTGCAGTTTACACCAATTCTGATTGCACTCACATGATATGAGGACTGTTTATGTCACATGAGCAGCTATGTCATACAGACTTATATTTATTAATTTGTTTAGTTCCTTCAGGCAGTGCCCAGGGCACTTTACTTAAAGTCTCTGTGAAATTAAAATGGACGATTTTTATTTATTTATAGAATGTTGCAGTGTTTATTATAAATTATGTATCTCTTGCATCATTATTTAAAAAAAAGTGCCCTAGTAATCTTTAGTTAAAAACATTAAAGGGTTAGTTCACCCCAAAATGAAAATTCTGTAATTAATTCCTCACCCTCGTGTTGTTCCAAACCCGTAAGACCTTCGTTCATCTTCGGAACCCAATTTAAGATATTTTGATGAAATCTGAGGGCTCTCTGATCCTCCCATAGACAGCAAGGTAACTACCACGTTCAAGGTCCAGAAAAGTACCAAGATGATCGACAAAGTAGTCCGTGTGACATCAGTGGTTCAACTGTAAAGTTACGAAGCTACGAGAATATTTTTTTGCGCAAAGAAAACAAAAATAACGACTTTATTCCACATTTTCGTCTCTACTGCGTCACTTTGGATGGGCGTTCACGACATTACCATGACATGTGCATGTGGCAGCGTCCACAAGTGATCCAGTGGAGACGAAAATGTGGAATAAAGTCGTTATTTTTGTTTTCTTTGCGCAAAAAATGTATTCTTGCGGGTCAGAGAGCCCTCATATTTCATCAAAAATATCTTAAATTGTGTTCCGAAGATGAACGAAGGTCTTACGGGTTTCGAACAACACGAGGGTGACTAATTAATGATGCCCTGTTGAAAAAACCAGCATATGCTGGTTAGGTATGTTTTGATGCTGGTTTAAGCTGGTCCTTTGCTGGTTTAAGCTGGTTTATGCTGGTCCTTTGTAGGGGTCGACCGATATGTGTTTTTCTAGGCCGATGCCGATACCGATTATTACAGATCCAAGTAGACCGATAACCGATATTTTGAACCGATATATATGTCTGGTGTAAAAATGAAAATTAATGTCACAATTAAGAATAACAAGAGCTCTGAAAAAAACTGCCTTCCCTGGTGTTGGTTGAGTGTAGTACTCCCACAGTAAACTCTTTATTTTAAAGAGTTAAACCTTTATTTTTTGGCAAACAAAGGGTTTACTATTCAAATTAAAACATGGAAGAAATAGCGTATTGTGTGATTTATTCTTTTAAACAAAGGTTGTAATAATTGTTGTAGTAGTCAGGGGTAAAAACAAAAATCTTTTGACCTGAAAATGTTTCCTCGGCCAAACCCCATTCCTCAGCCATACCCGTCACACACCCAGTTTAAGAGCAGTGTTTTTCTTCTTGTAATCAAGAGCACTTGTCCTTCTAATTAAAAAAAATGAAGGAGCACCTTCTGATCAAGAATCAAAAATTAGCCTTCCTAATACGAGGTGAAGTGATTTACAGGGGCATTTTCTTTTTA